ACTATGCATGCATATAAGCATAACCAATGGATACAGACACCTGGGGGGTGAGGGCATGAACAGGAGTGGGGTGGGGGGCAATGAGGGGATAAGGACACATAATCCAAGTAGTTTTATTTTTTGATTACCATTCCGCCTAGAAAACTTTCTTTAGCCATCCTTCAAGGTTAGATTTTCTAGCAACAAATTCTCTTTGTTTTTCTTCATTTGAGACTATCTTTATTCCCCTTCATTCCTGAAGTTTTGTTACTGGTTACAGACTTTCCAGTTGACATAGTTTTCCTTTTCAGCACATCCTTTTGACTTCTGTAGTTTCAGATAAGAAATCTGATGTCATTTAATTTGGTTTTCCCCTCTAGGTAATGTGTCATTTCTCTGTTTGCTTTTAAGATTTTTTTTTTTACCTTTAGTTTCAGAAGTTTAATTATAATGTGTCTTGGTGTGGATTTATTTGGGCTTACCCTATTTGGGTTCACTTAGTTTCTTGAATCTGCATGTGTAGATACTCATTTCACTATTCCTTGGGGAACAGGACTAGCCTTGCTTCTCCCTCCTTTCTCAGTCTCTTTGCTGCTAGGTGGCTGTGGAGGTTCAGCATCCAGCCCATACCAAGGGTGAGGGAAAGTGGAGTGCTGACTAGCTCAGTCTCATTGATGCTGGGTGAGGATGGAAGTTAAACTCCTCATTGAGCTCTTCTATCACACTGGTAAAGAAGAAGGGGGTGAAGCAGAGTGGTGATTAGCACCTCCTCCAACAGTCAGCTATGGGTGGAGGCTCCACTCATCCTGAAATTACAATGAGACTACTCCTGCCTGGGAATCAGGGTACAAAACCTGCTTCTGCCTTATTGAGAATGGAAAATCAGCTTTCCACTTGGCCCCACTGAAAGAGTTGGAGTGAGGAGAGGTAGGATGGTTTTTCTTTAAGTGTTTGGCTCAAGTAGGATGAGTATTGCAAAAAAGGATTCCCTGGCCTGGCCAACCGGTGTGGCTCAGTGGTTGAGTGTTGACCCATGTGCCAAGAGGTCATGGGTTCGATTCCTGGTCAGGGCATGTGCCTGGGTTTTGTTTTCAGTGGGAGGAATGCAGGAGGCAGCCAATTGATGTTGATGTTACTTTCTCACCAATGTTTCTATCTCTCTCTCCCTCTCCCGTCCTCTCTCTCTCAAAAATCAATAAAATAAGGTTCCCTATTGTTAGTTCTCCCTTTTCCAGATCCTTTGCCTATGGGAGACAGACTTTTCTTGGAGTTTTTATTACCTATGCCTATTGAAGGTTCTGGTTTGGAGCTTCTGCAACTCCCTGTCTGGGATATACGGGATACAATAAAGAAACTCAGGGAACCCACCACCCTGTCTTTTCTCAAATTCTGAGATCCTTAGTCTTTCCACCACTCAGAGACTTCATTTTATTTGTTTGCTGTGCTATGTCCAGGGGATATTTTTAGTGGTAAGAGTGAGGACCTGGAAAGAATAGGGGTGTTCTCTCTTTGCCAGAACTGGAAGTTTCCCTTCCTATATCTCCACCACATTTTGGAAAGTTATAATACACATCCTCCACTACATAATATGCAATGCAGACATAAGGGCATTGCATGATGACTTGGGGGATGATATTAAGTATGTAAGAGATTGCCACTCTATTATGTGTGATACCACAACTCCCAGAGCATGCAAGTCCTCTTTGTTCTTCTGAATCCTGGGTTTGGGTATTATCATCTAATGAAACCTGAGAGGAATATAGAGCACATTTCCTTGTTTTTCTAAACCAAATTACATCTGAGTCCCAATTGCACACACCTGACTGGTAGAAAGTCTAATATCAGTAATTGCAAGGGTTCCTCCCCCTTTTCTATGGGATAGTATTCAATTTTGATGATTCCTTAGTCCCATGGAAAAGAAGACAGATGTAGTCCTTAGTTTTTCTTATTTGCTACTCAGATTGGTCATTCTTCCAGAGAATAACATCAGGATCCCTACACTAGTTCTTGCTAGTCTGGCTGGCTGGCTGCTGTGCCAGAAGAGCTACAGCACCTCCACTTTCAGCAAGCCTTGCCACTAATCACAGGCTGAATCCCAGAATCTTTCACAGTTGTTCTCAGTGTTTTCACCCATAGCATCTACTTTCCACAAATGTCCACATCTATATCCCAACATTTTTGGTTATGTAAAGAAGTGAGGTTTAAATCTTCATCACTAGCAGAACCTTTCACTCAATCCCTGAGATATTCCCAGTTTCAGAGAAATGGATAGGAACATGGAATATCAATTCAGACTACTTGTGTTCATATCCTGCATCTATTACTTACTAAGTCATTGACTTTAGACAAAATCTTGACCTCTTCAAGCCCCATTTTCCTCATCTACAAAATGGAGCATCCACTATTATAAAAGTAGATTAAACCGAATAATATTTTTAAAATTGCTACAACAATGCTTGTTAGTATGATAATAAATACAGTATAGTAAAGATATAAGGTTATATAGTAAAATATAATCAGTTCTATATACTGTACTTAATAGGTACAATTTCTCTGCCTAGGTCACACTCTACTTTGACATTAAGCTAATCATAGCCTCTTTAATTGCTAAGGCTTTCATAATATTCACCTGGATAGGGGTCCATTTTCAGGGTAACCCTGAAGTACACTAAATATGCTAATCTCCTCAAAACACCCTGCCCTGACATGGGTGAGAAGAGCCAAGACCAATGTTTCTCAAGAGTGGTCCATAGACAATTTGCATCAAATCTTTAGAGACAGGGTTAAGGTATAAAGGTATTTCTTAGGCTGTCCCTGTGACTTTAATGTACAGGAAAGTTTGTGAACTACTCCTCTACACTCGCCATGTGTTTTATATATGGTTGCCTCTTCCTGTAATGTCTGTTTCCCCCACCTCTACCTGTGAAAATAGAATGCAGGCTCCACACAGCTTTCCGTAATTTCATGTTTACCACAAGCAGCAGATGCAACCTTTCTGTTACCATGGGATAAACAAAATGAGGAGGAATCAGAACTGGGGTGCAGGAGAGAGTATTGGGGAGCAATGGAATGCAGCACCTGTACTGGAGTGGTGGGAAGGACTCATGGTTTGTACTTGGAATTTGTGCACTTGAGGTGACATTGCAAAAAGGATGGGGGAAGGTGGGAGAAAATCAGCAAACAGGGCAGGGGGCAGAGGGAGAGAAGAGGAAACAGTAACAAAATAGCTCCCATGGGCTCCCCTGGTTGATCAGAAAAGTAAAGCATCTCTCCATGCACCCACCCCCATGCAGCAGGAGGAGGGGCGAGTGAGCAGAGTAGGTATTAACCACCAGACTTGCCTTGCAAGACCTTTTCACTTGTAACTGAGAATTCCTGGGTAGGAACCTGCCGCTGGATTGGCTGCCCTGAAGAAGACCAGCAAGCTATGAAAGAAACATGGAATTCCTGAGACAAGCCAGTGCCCTTACACTTTCATGATTGTGCCCCTGTGGTTGCCTTCTTCTGGAAAGTGCTTTACCTTCATCTCTGCCTGTGAAAAATCTTGCCTGTCCCTCAGGACCTCAGCCCAAGGCCCCAGGGGAATAAATGCCCAGGCACCTGAGCCTCTGGGATCTAGAGTGGGGACAGAACCTAGAAGCAGCAAGGGAGATGGTCCACCCTCAAACTCTTCCTCTCCACCTCCTTAGGGCTCTGAGTTACAAGGGAAGCCAGCACCTCCAAGCAACCTCTTCCCATTAAGGGCAGCCCAACAGGTTATCAAGGCTCTGCCTGACCAAAGGGGTCCCAGACATCACTCAGGTCAGAAAGTGGGGCCCAGGGATCTGTATTTGGAACTCATCCTTCAGGACACTCTAGTAAGGGAGCTCAGATACTTCAGTTTGAAGTGAAAAAAAATTATATATAAATACTGTTTTTAAACTGTTTTAAGACATCAGTAGAGGGGCTGAGAAAAAAGCTGCTGCAGAAA